CCTCTGGGAAAGACTTTATTCTCCTTACCTAGGCAACTAAATTTTGTAGGATACAGAAGTCTTACCTGTCAGTTACACTGTTTGAGAAGACCAAAAATGGGACCCCTAAGAATCCCCAACCCCTTCTGATAGGTTTTCCTTTGTAAATTAGTTGTTACTTTCATCTTGCAGCTTATCAGATTTTCTCTTTCATTTTGACTTCAGCAGAGTAAAGATTATCTGCCTTGGTAATATTTTGCTATGAATCTTCTAGGTGTTTGATGACCATCTTATATCTGGATATCTGAATTTCTAACAATACCAGAGAAGTTTTTCTTAATTATTTCCTCGGATAGGTTTTCTATGCTTTTTGCCTGTGATTCTTATATTAGTTTGCTTTATATCATCCCAATTTTTTTCTGAGTGATTATTCAGAATTCCAAAAATCTAAAAAAGGGGGAAAATAATCATCCTTAATTCTGTACCCCAAATAGCCATGGTTAAATCTGATATATTTCCTTTTAATCTTTTTTCTGAATACATTCTTAAAATAATGATTGCATTGTACTTTCTCCTAATGTACATCCTGCTTTTTAACGATGTTAATAGTGTACATTTTCCTAATATTTTAACACTTTTAAAAACATTTTTAATAGCTAGACAATGTTATTGTCCCCTGATACACTTCACCACCCCTTTTGAGTTGGTTGTTTGTTTGGCTATATGGTTCTACATTATAATGTTGCATTATGTATGAAATCATGTGCACAGAGCTTTTTCTTCCTCTGTAGAATCCTTACCTTTGCATAGTTCTCAGAGATGGAATCGTAAGACTAAAAGAAGGACTTCAATTATTACATGTAGTTTTTGCTAACATTCTTTTATCTTTTCAGATCAGAGTCAAAATTTTCTTACAGTATTCATACTGCAGCACTTTGTACTCACCCTTTGGTCACTTGAACAGCCTTCTTTGGTTCTTTTTTCTCTTTTAGATCTTAAAGTGTAGCAAGCAGAAGTGTAGGAGCATAAAGAAGGGTGTTTGCCAAAAAAGATTAAAGGATATAAAGTATGCCACTTACTGAGTGCTTACTTTGTAAAAGGAACTGGCTAAGTACCATGTTTCCCCAAAAATAAGACCTACCCAAAAAATAAGCCCTAGCAGGATTTCTGGGCATTTGTTAAATATAAGCCTACCCCGATAATACGACCTAGTGATGGGTGTGGCTATGCAGCATATCTGCATAGTCACATCATGCATTTTTCCACGCAGAGAAATCATCCCCTGAAAATATATTGATTTTTCCCCCCTGTAACCCTGTTCACCTTTTCTTAGCAAGGGGTGTCACTAGCTACCTGCATGATTGATTGAGTCAGGATCTAAAATTCACACTTTCTCTTTCTTCCTCATTCCCTATAAACAATCTATTAGCAATTCTTATTGATTCTACCTCTAGAATCAATTTTGATTCATCTCTGCAACTGTTACAGTGCTCTGGATGTCTTATTTCTCATCTACTTACCTGTTGGCTTCTGGACTGAGCTTCAAGTTTTCCCCTTCCAAGAGCCACTTAGCTTTCAGTGGGTCCTAAAAGTAAAAGAGATACTTATTTCCACTTAAACTATTGAAATGATTTCTTATTACATTAGCCAACAGGCTCTGCAAGCATATTTCCTGGAATCAAATCCTTGTTTCACTACTCCATAGCTGTGGAATCTTGGGCAAGTTGTTCAAATATGTCATAGCCAAGAATATAATTAATGTATACCAGTTAACGTTTATAACTGCCTGGTACTCCATAAATGTTTATTATTATTATTATTATTGTCATATGGCCTACAAAGTCCTGGACTTCTGTAGACTAAGGTTTCAGGTAATGAATTTCTCCAAAATTGGGTTTCCTTCAATTTTTATCTACCTCTCAACAACCTGTTTATTTATACTATTTATCATCATCTATAATTATCTGTTTCTTTGGTTTGCTACCTATTTTCTTAGAGTATAAGCTCCAAAGCGAGGGACCGTATCTAGCTTATTCCCATAGTACCTAGCACAGTACTTGTCACATAGGAGAAATTTATTATATATTTGTTGATAAAATAATTAATAAAATTCACATTCTTATCAAGACCTTTGGAGAGATGGGCATTTTTTCTTTCTTTCTTTCTTTTTTTTTTTTTTTTTTTTTGAGACAGAGCCTAAAGCTATCCCCCTGGGTAGAGTGCTGTGGCATCACAGCTCACAGCAACCTCCAACTCCTGGGCTCAAGCAAGTCTCTTGCCTCTGCCTCCCAAGTAGCTGGGACCACAGGCGCCCACCACAACACCTGGCTATTTTTTAGTTGTGGCCGTCATTGTTGTTTGGCGGGCCTGGGCTGGATTTGAACCCGCTTAGGTGTATGTGGCTGGTGTCTTAGCCACTTGAGCCACAGGTGCCACGTCATGGGCATTATTTCTTTGGGATGCCATGCCATCTCCCTGCCCTGCTCTCTTCTCTCTCTCCTTCTCATCTCTCCCTCCACTCTTTTCCTTCTCTCTAATATAAAATAAATTCTGCTCCCTTCTCTTTCTCATCTCTCCCCTACCACTCTCTGCCTTCTCTCTAATATAATATAAATTTATAATTTTATATCCTAATCTTGACCTACAGTAAAGAAAAAATTTTTAAAGAAGACCTTTGAAGATTGACTTTTTAGTCATTTTCTCATTTTGATTCAGTTTGACTTTGAATGTAACATCTGTTTATAATGCTGTAATTTGTTTTTCATGTCACAAAGGAGAAATCTCATATCCCCTCCTTATAGTTTTTTTAGATTAAATTGAGGAAGAGACTAAGAATGTCAATAATGACATCTTTTTGGCTTATAAGATAAACTTTTTCCTATTTTAATAATGGACTTACAGTATATAGAGTAACTTCTGACCCCCCAGAAAGGATGTTTTTAAAGCATGATATTAAGTAATATCAATATAATTTATATGGGATCTCATATATAGTTTAGATCATCTTGGATCTAAAGTATAGATCTAAGTATAGATCTAAGTATAGATCATCTTGGATCTCATCCAAAGGATATTTGTTATTGAATTATCTAAAAGCCTTAAAAATAGTATTACAGAACACTGAGATAGCATTATGGGGAATATATATGTTAAGCCATATCTGATAAAACATTCTTATAAAGTTATTTTAATCACTTTTTCTAGTCACTAATACTTTTATAGTCAACATATAAGTAGTTGGAAAGAATATGCTTAATAAAAACAGGAAGTTTTTCTTCCTGATCATACTAATATCAAATAGTTGCTTATAATTTTTCCTTATTTCTAAAATGCAAAACTACATTTAAAATACAGTATATAAAAATTTAAATAGAAGTTTCATATATTTGTTTCATCTTGATACTTTCAATATTTATAAGATGTTCATGATACTCAGTAATATACTTCTTTGGTTAGATTCTTCTCATAAAAACATTTTAACAGAGGGAGGGATATTTTTAACAAAAGGAAGGGAATTTATTTACTGTATACCTTACTGACTTATTAGATTAGTTATCTCAATCTCAGACTTTACTCTTGGCTCTTTCTTTTTAGAGATAGAGTCTCACTTTGTTGCCCTCAGTAGACTGCTGTGGCGTCACAGCTCACAGCAATCTCCAGCTTTTGGGCTTAGGTGATTCTCTTGCCTCAGCATCCTGAGTAGCTAGGACTACAGTAGCCAGGACAGGTGCCCGCCACAATGCCCAGCTATTTTTTTGTTGCAGTTTGGCCGGGGCTGGGTTCAAACCCGCTACCCTCAGTATATGGGGCCGGTGCCACCCATCCTTGGCTCATTTATAAGCGAACTTTATTAATATTTCATTTTTCTATGCTGTAAAGTGAAAAGTTTGAAATTTTATGATCTTTTGAGGTCTCTAAAAGTATTAACAATGGGAATCATATTTTCCATTAAAATTATTGATATATTTAAGGGAATAAATTAATTTTTAAAAACAGCTTCTATTACTTTAATACACAATGAATAACTTAAGTGTTTGCTTAAATTATAAAATACTATCTTGTCAGATCACCTCGATTCAGTATTCTTTTTTTTTTTTTTTTTTTTTTTTGCAGTTTTTGGCCAGGGCTGGGTTTGAACCCGCCACCTCTGGCATATGGGGTCAGCGCCCTACTCCTTTGAGGCACAGGTGCTGCCCCAGTATTCTTTTAAATACAATTATTTTAAAGGTTTTCATTTTAGTTAGTGGGGTGGTATAGAGTGGCATTCAATGTCTATCTGCAATAATACTAGATACAATGGTGTAATGATCTCTGGTTACTGACAGTTACTGGTTTTTATATAGTCCTTTTAAGGAAGGAAGTAAATTAAATGTTCTTATATTCTTTGTTGGAAAAATACCTCAAGCCCATATTATGATTTTTTTCAAAAGCTGGTAATAACCAAAACAAATGTTTTATAGGTATTAGCAAAGACAGATTCATATTCACATTTTTTGTCAAAGGGATAATTAGACTTTCTTTTTCTTATGCAGCCATCTGTTCTATTAGGATTGCAGGAGTAAGGTTAGCATAAATTACTAATTATCGGACCTTTCAAATTCTTGATTTAGTCATTAACCTTTAGAATTATAGAAAAACAGAAATTCTTTTTCTTTTATGTATAGAACTTGAGTCTACTTAGTTTTGAAAATAGACCAGTATAAATGACTCTGAATTTTCCTCCTTTCACTTTAATTTATATTGTTTCTTTGTTAGGGAAAAATACTGAGCACTCTAGGTCCACTGAGTCACTTTGAGGTTTCCTTTTAAGAGCCTTAGAAACACTCAGAATACTTTTTGTTATAGTGGCAAACTAACTTTCTTTCTTTCTTTCTCTCTCTTTCTTGTCTAAATAACTCAGTGATCAAAGTATAGTTTTGAAAAAATATAAATAAAATTTAACTCTTCTCTTTAAATGGTTTTTATGAAATAAACATTAGTTTTTTTTAAATATTTTATATTCATCCATGTCATTTTTTTAGGAGATTTTATGAAGATGGAGCAATTGTCTTGGGTGAGGAAGCAAATATGCTTGCTGGCATGCTGCTGGGACTCAATGCTATTGATTTCAGGTACCTTAATACAATCAAATGCGTCCAGTTTTTAAACCATCCTATCTTATAATAATTTCTACTTAGGATTTGTTTTCTTTCAATTTTGTAAATAAAGCAGATAGTTGGATATTAATATTTGATTCCGGTCATTTTGTTTCAAATGACTTTAGCTTGTTTTCTAAACTGACTTTCAGATAACAAATGCTAAAGATGGACAATGTGTAAGTTCTTTTTAGATTTATGGAAACATTTTTTTATCTCTATAATTGAGCCTAGATTTTGTAATGTATTAAAAGTAAGAGGTTTATCTACAAGAAAATTTAAACATAATAATCAAGGAAATACATTTTTCTTGAAATACAGCATTTAAAGAGTGTTAAATAAGGTGAATGAAAATCTGCTTCTAGATCTTGAATTAAAGTATAATGCTGCTTCTTTTCACTAAGGTTTTTTTCTGGTAAATCACTTCGTTTCTAAATATTTATCATTTTATAAGTCTGACTTTTAAGATTTAATGAACTAGTATAGGTTAATTAGCTTATTTATTTAGGAGCATGAAGCCTGTCTTTTTAATGCCTCTAAGGATGTTAACTTTTTATAAGGCATTTCACTGCCCCTGTCTAAATTTGTTATGTTCATATTATTTTGGTTTTATTTGTTTTGGTAAATCAACAATAACAACAAACAACCCTGGGATAAGAATGTTAGCTGCCAGGTTAGTGTAACCCATTGATATATTTTAAAGTTATATTAGCAATGTATCTGTTAATGAAGGAAAGCCCATATGAAGTGTTATCACTCTGATTCTCTCCTTATTCAAGACTGGGAAAAGACACATACCCGCAGTATTAATATATTAGAGCAAGTATTTTGGGAGACAAACTCTTGAAATAATGCTTAACTGGGGATTTATAGAGGAATTTTTTCTTTTGAAAAATCAACCTATATCTTATAACTATTCTTACGTTCATCTTCCTAGAAGATGTACTTTAAAAAAAAATAGTAATCATAAAACCGATGCTTTTTTTGTTATCTTATGATATATACCATTATACCAGAGCAGATTACTGGATCAGGGGACTAGGAGGTCAAGAATTCCTTTACTTGTCATTCTGGAAGACTCATAGTATGATTTCAAACCAGTCACCTAATCTTATTTTCAGAATCCTAATAGGTCTAAGATCCAAGCCTTTTACATTCAGATAGTTTTGAAAACCCTCATTTTCTAATCAGATCTCCTAGGGGGATATTCAGTGTCATCTGAAAATTTGTATCTAAATGTGAAGAACAAATCTTCATTTGAAGATTCTCTTTTGACCTCTCAAAAGTTCAATGAAGACCAAGATAGTATTGAATAAAGGGACAAGATTTGAACAGCTTTCTTAGTAAATTTTACTCATGCTTGATATATTTATATGCATTTAGATAGAATGCTTTTTATTGAGGTATTAATTTATAAGAAGTAGCAATTACAAAAATATAGCTGTAGTTTTATGAAAGAAATGTCTCTATCAAGATATTTAACTTCAATTTAAAATTTTATGCATTAATGTGAAGTATTTATTGTCTATTTTCTTAGCTTCTGCCTAAAAGGAGAGGGATTGGATGGCAACTTTCCTGCTGTTATAGACTATACACCGTATTTGAAGTTTACCCAAAGGTATTTGATATTTTGAAATATGTTTCTAAAATCTTAATTTATAGTTTAAAGTCTTGTGCAGTGTTCATATGATTAAAACTACTTTGTACAAAACATTTGTTTCAGTGTGATAAATCATTAAGGATTTGTATGAACACACACTTTCTATATAATTGTAATCCTAGTATCTACTTTTTTAAATAATAAAAGCTTGTATTTATATTGCTATAGTTGTTATAATAGCTCTGAAGTAGTTCACTGAAATTTAAAAACTATAATTATTTAGGCTTTTTTCCATTTTATCTCCATTATTAAGAAAAGAATAATGAACATCCTTAAATAAATCAATGTTCCTTTTGTTACTATTGTAAATTTTTGGAGGTATTCAGGTAAATTCACTGAAAAATTTCATGATTCTTAAAGTGTATCTTTATAGAAGAGTTGTCGCAATTTATCCTGTTACCCATAAAATATGAAATGTGGATTTCTCATAATCTTATCAGTATTGAAGATCAATTAAATGAAATGTATAGATATTTCTAAGGTCTGCTTTAAAAATTGAATTCCTAAAAAGAGTGATAATATTTATTTCTAAAATGTTATAATCAGGTCAAAGCTGTAAGGTACTGTATATGTGTGTACTCTAAGGTACTATATATGTGTGTAAAGTATGTAATGTTATATTACATTATGTAATATTACATTAGGTAATATTTGCTCACACACGTATTTTTAATATCTTTTAAATCTTCCTTATATTGGTAGTTCATAATTTTTATTTTTGCTTTCTTTTTAAAAAAATTCTTGCCAAACTTTGCAATTTTATTACTGTTATAAAGAATATATCTTTTGGGCGGTGCCTGTGGCTCAGTGAGTAGGGTGCTGGCCCCGTATATAGAGGGTGGTGGGTTTAAACCTAGCCCCAGCCAAACTGCATTGTGCAAGGTGCTTGTAGTCCCAGCTACATGGAGGCTGAGGCAAGAGAATCACCTAGGCCCAAGATCTGTAGGTTGCTGTGAGCTGTGATGCTATGGCATTCTACTGAGGATGACAAAATGAGACTCTGTCTCTTAAAATATGTATATATATGTGTGTATATATACACACACATATATCTTTTGATGATCCTCTGTTGTGTCATTGCCTTCTAAATCCTTAATTTTCATTCTTATCTGTATTATTTCATTTCTTCTATTTTTTTAGTTTGTGATGATTTTTGTTTTCATAATACTTAAATTTCCTTTTTTCTTGTAAGTATACAGACTATAAACATTCCTTGAAGTACTACTTCAGTTATCAATATATGTGTAAGTTTAATAAACCTTTTTATTTTAATTCAGTTTTAAGTATAAAGTCCATTATAAGTTTTTTTGATTTTTGTTTTTTGGGTTTTTTTGAGACAGAGTCTCATTATGTCACTCTCAGTAGAATGCCATGGCGTCACAGGTCAAAGTAACCTCCAACTCTTGGGCTTAAGCGATTGTCTTGCCTAAGCCTCCTGAGTAGCTGGGACTACAGGCATCTGCCATAATGCCCAGCTATTTTTTGGTTGTAGTTCTCATTGTTGTTTGGCAGGCCTGGGCTGGATTTGAACCTGCCAGCTCTGGTTTATGTGGCTGGCACCCTAGCCACTGAGCTACAGGCTCTGAGAGCCCCATAGGAAGTTTTTTGACCAAGGGATATTTGAAATACAATTGTCAAATATTTCTAGATGGCTTTTTATTATTGTGATCAGTGAACCTGGTCTACAAAATAGATCTTAGTTCATTGAAATTTGTTGAGAAATGGCCTAGAATTGTTAGTTTTCCAATGATTAGGTCCTATGTCTAGTAAACTATGCTTGTTAATGGTGGTCTAATCTGTATATTTTCTTATTTTTATTTGATTGATCTTTTAACTCCTGAAGATAATGTATTCTTTCACTATAGTGTTTATCAATGTTTTACTTTTTCCAGGTATTTTAATCTTGGGTTTATATTTTTGAAACTAACATAATATATATCCACAAGTTTAGAATTCTTAAATTTTCTTTTTTTTTTTTTTTCTGGCCAGGGCTGGGTTTGAACCCACCACCTCTGGCATATGGAGCTGGCGCCCTACTCCTTTGAGCCACAGGCGCCACCCCCCCCTCAAATTTTCTTGATATAATGAATTTTCTGTCAATATATAGTAATCATAAGTATGTAATAATATTTTTATTCCTTATCATCCATTTTGTTTGACATAAATACAGTCCTGACAAGTATTTTTTTTGGGGGGGAGGTTAGTATTTTTCTAGTATATTTTTATTTTTTTATACCATATTTCATCTAATCTAACATGGCTTTCATTGTAAATACCTAAATTCAGAGACATTAATATGTAAGAAAATGGCTTGGCAACAGTAGTAAGATGTTATCAATTGCAAAGTGTATCCTGATTTTGGATATTAAATATGTGAAAAATGTATGCAGGGAAATTATGAAATACAGTGCTTTCAACCTTTCTATGTCTTTATGTTTTTAAGTATGTCTTTTTTTTTTATTGTTTGAAATTCATTGAGGGTACAAAGAATTAGGTTATACTGGTTGCATTTGTTTATCTTCCCTCTTATAATTGTGTCCCATCCCCAAGAGGTGTGCCATACACCGTGACCCCCCCCCGCCCTCCTCCCCTCTCCCAGCTTCCTCATTCCTCTAGCCCCCCTTGTATTAGATTATCTACTGCTTTCATATTAGAATTTAGTACATTGGATTCGTGCTTCTCTATTCTTGTGATGCTCAATCTTTGAACTCAATCCAGCTCAATACAAAAGATATAAAGTTTCCATCTTTTGAATGACTGAATAGTATTTCATGGTGTACATATACCACAGCTTGTTAATCCATTCCTGGGTTGTGGGCATTTAGGCTGTTTCCACATTTTGGCAATTATAAATTGAGCTGCAATAAATAGCTAGTGTAAAGGTCATTATGATAAAATGATTTTTTTTCTTCTTCGTAGATACCCAGTAATGGGATTGCAGGATCAAATGGGAGGTCTAATTTGAGTTCTTTGAGGATTTTCAATACTTCCTTTAAAAAAGGTTGTGTTAGTTTGGAGTCCCACCATTAGTAAAAGTGTTTCCTTCTCTCCACCTCCACACTAGCATCTGCATCTTTGAGACTTTGTGATGTGAGCCATTCTCACTGGGGTTTGGTGTTATCTGGGGCTGGAGGTGGTTGATTTGCATTTCTCTGACGATTAGGGATGATGAGCATTTTTTCATATGTTTGTTATCCATTCGTCTATTTTTTTTGGAGAAGGTTCTATTCATGTCTCTTGTCCAGTGATATATGAGATTGTTGGGTCTTTTTTGTTGATTAATTGGAGTTCTCTGTAGATCTTAGTTATCAAGCTTTTGTCTGATTCATAATATGCAAATGTCTTTTCCTATTCTGAAAGTTGTCTGCTTTGTTTGTTGTTTCCTTAGCCTACGGGAGCTTTTCAGTTTAATTAAGCCCTATTTGTTTATTTTTGTTGTTGTTGTTGCAATGGCCACTGAAATCTTCTTAATGAAGTCTTTCATTTGGGTGAGTTCCTCTGTTTTGGTTTTTCATGTTGCCTGAATTTTATTGTTGGTTCCTCCTCATGTGTTCTTTCTTATTGCTGACCTCCTTATCTTGCTTTTTACTTCTCACTGCCTCCGTTTTTTCAAATAGAAATCCTTGCTCTTGATGACATTATGTTGAAATGTGTTGCCTGGACACCAGGTGGTGCTGTAGCTTTTTTTAGGAGACAAGGGTAGCAACCTCTGTGGTCCTTATTTCAAACTTAGTTGCCTTCAATGATTACCTGATTGTTTCCTCAGCATTTAGCCCCTGCTGGGTTGGGATCTTAAAGTTCACAAAAATCCTTCAGGGGTTAGGTCTCACAGTGCCCCCAACTCCATTTCTCATGGGGTACTGGAGTCCCTTAGCCCATCCCAAGAGTGGAGTTCTGATCCTGGCAGGCGGAATTAAGATGATTGTGCTTTAGGTCCCTGCTAAGACCTTCTCATGACCTTCTCACAATGGCAGCCCCCTGACCACATAGACCTTCTCAGTATGACTGCCTCACCAGCCACCAAACCTATAGCAACTCCACTTCAACCAGCATTCAAATCAGGTTGCTGTATAATGTTTGAGTCTGCCCACTCTTCCAAGCTTTCCACTCAAGGCGCAGCTTACCCCAACAACTGAAAACTCCAGAAAGGCTTCCTCCCATCCTGGACCTCTGTAGGAGGCCAGCTGATCCCAGCTGGTCACAGTTACTTGCCTCACTAGTCTGATTTCCACTGCTCAGGATCATATACTGTATCCAGCTCACCACCTCCTCACTGTGCTCTCTGAGCTATGACTCTGGGTAAGGTCCCTGTGCCAGGTATAGCTGGGTTCTCTCTTTTTCCCTAGTTTTTCGAGGAGAGCTCAGCTGAATGATTTTTCTGGACCCCCATCTTACTCTTCCCCCTTTTAAGTATGTCTTTTAAAAATGATTCTCAAGTGAAATTTTAAAAGTCTACTCAGCTAAGCTTTGTCTTTTAACTGAGATCCTTAGGATATTTATTGATATATGTGGATTGATATCTTCTATTGCACTTTTTGGCTATTTATCCTTCTTTGTATTTTTTCTCATTTCTCTCTCTCTCTCTCTCTTTTATAAATTTCTCCTTTTCCCCCATTGTATTCCTCTACTATTTCAAAAGTTACACATTCTCCTCTTCGTCTACTGGTAAAAGATTTAAAATTGAGTGAAGTCTGAAGTTAATGTCTTTACCACCCATCCAAAGAAATGTGGATCTTGTGTTGCTTTAACTCCAACCATTTTCTTTTTAACATATGCTTTTGCTGACCAGAATTTTGTATGTCATTGACTTGTTTAAAATTTCACAATGTAGGCATCATTATTACTATTTCATACTGTAAACATTTGTTTGGGTTTACCTGTAAGTTTGCCATTTTCTTTGCTTACTATCCCTTCTTGCAAAACAACCCATTTTAATTGGGTCATTCTTTTTGTCAAATTATGATTGTTGGCACATGTAGACCTCTTTGGGGGATTTTATTTTATTGTGGTTTGTTGGCACATCTCTCAGGAGTTTAGTTTTCTGAAAATACCCTTATATCACCTTTCTGAGAAGATAATTTTTCTGGATTTTCCTTGGATATCCTGTCAGTTATTTTTTCATAGTACTTTGAACATTTTGAATAAATATTACAACTTTCTCAGATCTTTCATTTTACTAGTACTTTCTTCAATTGTACCTGATTTTTAGCTTATCTATTTTCAATGTCAGATATCTTTTTTAGAAAAGTTCTATTTGGTTATTTTCAAAGCTAGAATTTTATCATCAGCCACTGCTTTCTTTTCTCTATTCTACCAAAAGCCATGGCCATGACAAGAAAATTTTCTTTGGTATTTATTTGTTTGTTGGTTTATTTTCTGGATACCAACTGAGGGCATCTCATTGATCAGACTTTCTTTTATGCAGAGGTCTCTGTTCCGATCTTGTAATATGCTCCCCATACTCAGGAGCACAACAGATGCAAACACAGATTACAGAGGATGAAATATATAATCTACTTTTTTGGTCCTTATGATATTTTCCAGCATTATATCTATGAAATTGTAATTCTGACCCTGTTTCTTTTGGTTCACATTTTCTTGGTGTTTTCCATCTCATCAATTTCCTTGTTGATACTCATTGTATTTTATTATAGACAACTTATTATTGGCCCTTATTCATCTTAATAAAACTTGAGCATATGACTTTTGGTTATATAATTTGACTCATTTATTTATATTATAATTACTTTTGTTCAGAGCTTATTTCTGCCACCTCATTTTTTGTTTTGCCTTTTTTTGGTGGTTTTCTATTTTCCCCTCCATTTGACAGATCATAGTATCCTTTAATACTTGGAAGGTTAAACTATACACTGTTTTTATGTTTCTATTTCTTAACTGTTATTGTATTTTAAATTTTACTTTTCCTTGGTCCTCCCCTCCAAGATGAGGTCTCACTCTGTCACCTAAGTTGGAGGACGATGATGCTAATATAGCTCACTGCCACCTCAACCTCCCAGTCTTAATTAAGCAATCCTCCTGCCTCAGACTCTGGAGTAGCTGGGACAACACGCATGTACCACCACACTCAGCTAATTTCTTTGTTTTTCTTTTCTTCTCTCTTTTCCTCTTTTTCCCTTTTCTTTCTCCCTCTCCCTCTTTTTCTTTTTTTTTTTAGACAAAATCTCACTCTGTTGCCCAGGCTAGCGTGCCGCTGTATCAGCCTAGTGCGCAACAACCTCAAAATCCTGGGTTCAGGTGATAAGATGTATTTTGGCTAATTTTTCTACTTTTCATATAGATGGGGTCCTGCTATGTTGAGCAGGCTGGTCTCAAACTCTTGGCCTCAAGTGATCCTCCCATCTTGGCCTCGCAAAGTACTAGGTGAGCCATATGCCCCACCCTTTTAAAAGTATATTAACAATATATTCTAAAGTGGACAGTCATCTTAGCACACTTTTCATTTAGTTTCTCCTCTCTTTTTTTTTTTTTCACCTCATTCTGTGCTCGTCTGCCATACCTGTGTCATGAGGAATTTTAAATATGAATTATGACATTCTCTCACTTGATTCTGCCTCTTCTTCTCCTTAGAAGGAGATGCTTAGGAGTGACTGGTTTTTCTGAACCTGTTGTCTTCTTTTTGTAAAAGCTGAGCTGACTTAGTGCACTAAATGTTATACCCTCTCGTGACCGGGCCCCAGGAGGGAGAGTTGACCTGAATGGAAGTAATGGGAAATGGAGAAATAAAACCAAGAGATACAAAAACAAAGACAGGAGAGGAGAGATAGGATGGTGTGAGGAGGACTGACGCAGCTGATGGCTGCAGCCAGCACCTGAACCATGGAAACAGCTTTATTTATACAGTATCTTAACAAGGTTGCATAAATCTTAACACATGGGGTAGAGATCATTCTTAAAGAGGAAAAACTGTGTGCTTGCCAATAACAAGGAAAGTATGCCTGGGCTACATGACTTCTGGCAGGTGGAGAGAATGTTGTTGAAGGAGAAGAAGTGGTTGAGGGTCATTCCCTGAGCACTTCCCAGGCTGTGGGGGCCCTGCCGTCCACAGCTCACTCCACACAATACCCCACTAGCATTAGTTAGTAGAGCTGTTTCTGCCTTGCAGTAGGGATTAGACAGGCAGTAATCCACCTAGTGCAGTGAAAAGAATCTAGCTAACTGTTCTAAGCCTATCTAGAGTTTCTGGTTTTCTTCTCTGGGAATCTTTTCTCTCTCCTCTGGATATTCTCACAGTGTTACTATTAATTCCTTAGATTTATAAACTCACTTGAACTTCTGTAGTATCTCTAAGTGTGGTTTTGTGAGAGGGAGTCAGCAGCCATTGCTAGCTTGACATTTTTTTCAGGATGTTAAAATCTTTGTAGTATCATTATTGTAATCCTATATTTAGTACTAAATATTTTGGAGTTTGTTCCCAGTAGTTTGCAAGTACAGAAGTATTTAAGAATCAAATATGAGTATATTATTAACATTATTTCTTTTTAAAATTTTGATCTTCCCAGTTCTGATAGCATTAGCAGTGATGAGGAGGAGCTGAGGACTTTGGGAAGCAGTAGCAGTGAAAGCAGTACTCCAGAGAGTGTCGGGCCTCCCTTCATCATGGACGAGAACAGCTGGTTCAACAAGTGTAAGAGAGTTAAACAGAAGTATCAGCTTACCCTGGAACAGAAGGTATTTATCAGTGGTTAAAAATCTCTTAATTTGATTCTACTTACTGCCTTTGAACTATCACTGCCAAAAGATTTTTTTTTGTTTGTTTTTGCAGTTTTTGGCCAGGGCTGGGTTTGAACCTGCCACCTCCAGTATATGGGGCCAGCACTCTACTCCTTTGAGCCAGAGATGCCACCCCCCACAAAAGATTTTTTAAATGAGTTTTATTGTTTATTTATTTTTTATAATTATTTTTTATTAAATCATAACTTTGTACATTGATGCATTTATGGGGTTCAGGGTACTGCTTCGATATACAATGTGAAATGTTTACATTGAACCAAGTAACACATCCATCACAATTATACTCATTTCTTAATAGTTTTGGAATGTACCATTGCATCATGCACATTAGGTGAGGTCCCCCAGAATACCTTCCCTTCTCCCATATCCCCCTCCCCACCCCTCTCTCTCCTCTTCCCTTCTACTTTATCGACTAAATGAGTTTTTAAAAAATCATTGTTTTGGGGCAGCACCTGTGGGTCAAAAGAGTAGGGTGCCAGCCCCATATACTGGAGGTGGTAGGTTCAAACCCAGCCCCAGCCAAAAAAAGAAAAAAAAAAAAAAAAAAAAAAAATTCTGTATCTTATTTTTTATTTATTTATTTTTTGAGATAGGGACACTCTCTGTTGCCCAGGATAGCAAACTCCTGGGCTCAAGTGATATTCCTACCTCAGCCACCTGAGTAGCTGGGACCATAGCCCTATGTCACCAGACCCAGGTAATTAAAAAAAAAAAGTTTCTTTTTGGTAGAGATGGCATCTCACTATTCCTCAGGCTGGTCTTGAACTCCTGTCCTCAAGTGATCCTCCCACCTCAGCCTCTCAAAGTGCTAGGATTACAGGCACATGCCACTGTTACTGGCCTAAAAAAAATTATTTCTCCATTGCTACTTCCCTTCTTCTTCTTCTTAGTAGGAAACGCTTAGCAGTGACTGGTACTTCTGAACCTGTTGTCCTCTTCAGTTTTAGCAGAGGCTTTTGATTGTTAAACTTTTTCTAATTTTAAGTTTTAATATAAAAATAACTATTATTCTTTATTCATGTATTTGCGATTTTATGTCCTATGATTAACTGTTTGAAAGATTATTGGTTTATGAGATTGCAGTGATTGCCTATGCACTTATAAGTCTCTGGGGATTTTGTTGCAATTCGATATTTTATCACTCTTGTTTATTAATCACCATTCTAGGTAGAGTATATAACAGAAAGAAAACAAACTCTATTATCTTGAGGAGTTTGTAACCCTTACTTTTTACTATATTACATATTTTTCCCTTTTCCCCTTCCTTTAAACGCATCATTATTTAGAATGGTATATATGTATAAGGAAAACCCAATGGAATTAGTAATAGAAATAGTAGAACAATAAAAAATACACTGGGGAAAATGATTATAAAGTAAATTTACAAATACGAATGGATTTCCTACATACAGCTACTGCTCAGAAAATACAATGAAAATATTCCAATTGTAATAGCTATAAAAATTTGCATAATCCATATGAAGAAAAAATTTATACCCTATTAAAGAAGAGATTTCTGGGTCCAGCAAGAAGTGAAAGTAAAATAATTTGAATACCCTTCCATTGCAAAAATCAGAAAATGCAAAGTAGAACACTATTTTTGGAAAGTTTCATGCAGAGCTGCCCTCTCAAAGGAAAGGAACTCACTAGGGATCAGAAACATAGAAGGACCTGAAACCAAGAATCAGTGCATAAATCAAATGTTAGTGTAGGCCCCAGGGGTGTCAGTGAGAGCATAACCCTTAACTTAGGTAATTGTGTTTCAGTACAAACAAGAGAACCACAGATACAGACCCACTACCATTCAAGATAGAAACTGGACCTGGAAGGCAGGAGTAAGATGAAAAATATCAGAATAAGCCAAGAAATTGATAAATGAACCTTGAATACATGAAGCAGCAAAAATCCAGTATGGGGTAACAATTGTGTACTAGATTATGTTTAGCTGGCTCTAGCAAAGGAGATGTAGAGAAGACCTGATTATATTTGCCAGTTTCTGTGGGGTAAATACTCCCATCCTGGCCAATTTACACTCCCAGTGAGACATCACTGAATGCAAGAGTTAGAAGAGTTGCATGGTAGAACATCATTACATAATATTTCTTCTAGATAGATGTAAATAATAGTAAGAGCATAGATGATAGTAAAATATGATAAAATAATTAGTAAGTAATGATTTTTGAGTAGTTATTACCTTTGTTTTAAATATAATTTACTGGGCGGTGCCTGTGGCTCAAGGAGTAGGGCACCAGCTCCATATACTGGAGGTGGTGGGTTCAAACATGGCCCCGGCCAAAAACTGCAAAAATAAAAAATAAATAAATAAACATAATTTACTTAATTGTAAGTTTATATAATTTAATTTTTATTAATAGCAATGCTTGACAAACTGACTTAAATTTCTGAAAATTTAGCCATGCGCTCTTGAAAGCCTATACAAGCAGGCTAGAGGCCACCACTAGGAAGGAGTATGAAAGCAAAGCAGAACTCAAACACTGGCTAACAATATCAGAAAGAGTAATGAGGATGATCAAAGCTAAAGTTTTTTGAGTTTTTTGTATTATAATGAACAAAGATGGAGACATTTTTTAATGAGTATACCTTCTTCAAAAGTTAACATTTAGGAGTGGCAACTAAAAGAATAAAAGTAGAATGTTTAACTTCTAATCTAAAGGGTATCCCAAAGATCACCATATGTACATACATAGGGGAAGTGGGAAATTGTAACTAAATGTACCTTTACTTAAAAAATATTCATTAGAAAATTTTACAAAATATTTCTCTATATGTTGATACATAAATATTAAAAAGATAAAATATAATAAGTTTGTTAAATTTCCTATGTATGGCAACCTTTGAGACACCCTTTAGTAGAGGAAAACAAAAGAAATAAGGAACACTTGATCAATACAATGGAAGAAAATAAATAAGAAAAAAGAAAGATTGTAAAAAGATACCAAAAAATCTAAATATAACCAAAAGAGTCAATAGCACCATAAAAGTAAATGATGTATACTTGCCAGTTAACAAACTGTTAGATTTATTTTAAAAAATTATGAAATTTAGCTATATGCTCTTGATAAGGAGACATATACAATATAATGACAAAAAAATTTTGAATTAGGAGGGTAAGTATACTAGGCAAAGGATTCTGTCTCAGTACCTTTAAACATGGATGTTCGTTAATGCAAAAAAGCATTAAGACCAAAGACTTGCTTTTTTGAGAAAAAAGAAACAATTCATCAAGAATGTATGAATGTGAATTTATATATATATTTGACAAAATTACCATGAAAATATGAAACAAAAGTTAATAATATTTCCTGGAGAAATTGATAAATCCACAATTATAGTAGGAAATTTCAAAATCTTTCAGAATAACTGATAGATTTAATGGACAAAAAATTAGTAAGGATATAGTGAACTTGAATTACACAGTTTACTTGATCTAAAATACATTAAATGCTAACAATCATAATATATATTCCTTTCAAGCACTCATGGAACAACTGTACCAGTTTTTATGGAGCACAGTAGGCCACAAATGCCCTCAAATACCAAAGTATAAAAGAAATGAGGACATACATAAAAATAAATAAAAATGAAAACAATGCATATCAGCAGTTGTCCATTGCAACGTGTGCAGTGCCTGTGGAAGTACCTAGAAAAGCAGGAATGAAAATTAAGAGACAAGTTCGAAGAAGCAGGTAAGGAGCAACCCAACTAGTTCAAAAGAAGGGAAATAATAAAGATAAGAACACATACTGATGAAATAAAAAACAAAGAAACAGAATTAACAATCCCCAAAGCTGATTATCTGTAAAAGCTAATTAAAAAGACAAATCCTAGCAAGCATTATTATTCTTTTTTAAATTAGGGTAGAGATAGACAATTTTAAGAATTAAAAGAGTATAGATGGCATAATTATAAATGTGCCAGAGATTCTCTCAATAATTATTAGTGAATAATTTAACACCTTTTTGTTAATACCTTAGAAAAGTTATATAAAAAGAGTTTTTATAAATACTGATGAAAGCTGATAGACCTATAGCCATTTCAAAAATTGAATAAACAGTTTAAAATCTCACCTCCTACCCCAAAACTCATCTAGTTTTGGTAGTAAACTCTACTACATATAGTTATGCACCATATAACAATGTTTCAGTCAACATCGAACTGAACAGTGGTCCCATGAGATTATAATGGAGTTGAAAAATTCCTGCTGCCTAGTGACACAGCAGCTGTGGTGATGTAGCACAATGCATTACTTGTGTTTCTATTGTAAACAAACCTACTGTGCTGCTAGATGTATAGCACATATAATTATAGAGTGTACTACTTATGCTTATTAAAAATACGCTAACTGTAAAACAGCCTCAGGCAGGTCCTTCGGGAGGTCTTCCAGAAGAAGGCATTGTTAATGATAGGTGCATGTTATTACCCATGAAGACCTTCCTCTGGGATAAGATCTGGAGGTGGAACACTGTGATGTTGATGATCCTGACCCTGTGTAGGCCTAGCCTAGGAACAGATAGCAAAAAGAAGACAGAAGACCACTGCTACTCAAAGTTCAGTCCTGGTGTATGAACTGTCTTTTTGACACAGGCATGTAGTACTATAAATTTCCTTGTTAGTGCTAGATTTCTTTCTTTTTTGTTTTTTTTAAATCATAAACACATAGGTCATGTATATATTAATGCATTTATAGGGTACAATGTGCTGATTTCATATAGAATTAGGAATGCTTACATAACACTGGTTAATATATACCTCATCTCGTTTACTTAGTTATTGTGTTAAGACATTTATATTCTATACTAATAGATCCGACATGTACCTTTGCATTAGGCACCTTTGGTGTGATCCCACCATTCACCCTCCCTCAATCTGACCTGCCCCCTCCCTTACCATCCCCCTGTCCTCTCTCCTTCATCTTG